TTTAGAATGGTCACATTGACTTTGTTGTTGGTTTTCAGAAAGGCTATATGCCGAAATGGTCCTGCATCCCGACTTTCCTGCCTGTCTGATCCTTATTTGATAGAACTCTCATCATTCATTGGGATTAGTGAAAGAACTAACTTTCATTACCAGATTGTCATATGAATTAATAAGTTATAGTATTATAGGTTAACACTTATTAGGCGCGTTACCCGCCAGTTGGATCGTCAGTAGGATCACCCAGATAGCTATCAATCTTCAAAGTAATTATTCAGGTGAGTTATCTCACTATATTATGTATTACAATACACATCCATGTATGTTAGGGTAGAGAGCTAGTAGAGTAGAGCTGATAGTATAATCTCTATATGCTTAATGTACTTGAAACTGGTAGAGTAGAGTGCATAAATGTACCTGTACTAATAGAGTTCAAAGTGCAGCCTCTATGTGTGTAATTGTTGTAATTAATGACTTAGTTAAGGGATGATGGGGGAACGGTTAAAGAGGCTGGGATTCTATAGGCCCGTATGTTAACGAAATATCATGTAGGTCGTAAGTACACATAGACTCGTGTTGATGAAATGACATGTAGGTCGTAAGTACACGTAGAACCATGTTAACGAAATGACATGTAGGTCGTAAGTACACATAGACCTGTGTTGATGAAATGACATGTAGGTCGTAAGTACACATAGACCCGTATTGAAGACGAAATAGTTGGGGTCGTAAGTCTTAAAATACACATATTATTGGGAGATAGTGAGGCATTGTTTGTATGCATGTATATGTATTGTGGTATATGGTATTTTGGGGAACTCACTAAGCTTTGTGTTTACCTAGTTGAATATAAATGTTTTTCATGTACTTCATTGATTCATAAGAAGGGCAAGGTTCGACTGTACACACGCGCATTCGCAACATGTTTCCGCACAATGTAATCATACTCTGATATATTTTAATAAATAAAAATGAAAATTTGGGTTGAATACTGAGACGTTACACATATACTCCACAACAATGGTATGCTTGGTCTTCGCATGAGGTATGCTTGGTCTTCGCATGAGGTATGCTTGGTCTTCGCATGATCTGGTGAGTTACACTAACTCCCTTATTCTATAGACTTTAGTTATTAATGTGTGTTGTTGTTCACGTATATCATCTGGGGTAGAGTTGACAATAAATAGAAAGTAACTTGTTCCCAGGTGGGGGACAAATTATGCTCTTATATCTTATTCTTAGGTTGGGGAGTAAGGGGTTTATTATCGAATCGATCATAGAAAGAAAAGGGGTTCGTACCAACAATATGCGTATGGAATTAGTGTGCTCTATCAATATTATGTGATTTATGTGTTAAGTGTTAAGTGTGGGTAAATGATCGATATAATGGGTGAGTGATGTGTATGATCACTACGTTTTATGCTTACCCGTTGTTCTTTAAACTTTTCAGGATCATGGGGTACAGATAAGGGCAAGAGACCGATGTGACTGCAAGCAACATTCGCATACTTATTAAACTTTCATTATGAACTTTTGTTTATGAACCTGGATACAGATTGCTCCCGTAATATGTTTTCTAAACAATTTCATTTTTGGTAATCTGATATTGTCTTTGGAAGTTTGAACGAATAAGTATTTCAATATATTTTTTTCAAAAAAGTGGAGTTAATTTTTTTAGGTTGTTACAAAGTTATCGCATCGTCCATATTGGTTATGAACGCTACCTCCCTAGCATCCTGAGAGCTTCCTCCAGCCACATCAGGAACTAGGTACAAGATTCGACACTATGTGTCGCACACAGACAATACGTTAAAAGTAGGATCTAATTATTTCCATTTGATTGTTTCCATCCATAACAACTACCATGAAAATTGAGCATACTACCTGCAAAGATGATTGGTATCATACACACGGTGAATGTATAAATGTATATTTTATGGAATAATTAAACAATTAATGGTAACAAAATTAATAAATGAAAATAAACATTTAAATTTTGAAAAAATATTGTATAACACATACAAAAGCCACAAAACATAGTTGAAAACGATCCATAACATTTGTTTTTAATGTTGGTGTAACTATGTGGCTTCGTTCTTTCAATACAAGTAAGCACACACGTTCATAAAGCTTTGGTTATGATCATGATATGAGAAACTCATTTTGAGAAGCATTTTTTTTTTGCAAAATAATCTCTTATTAGATAACATGCTCTATAGTGTACGGATTTTCGTGATACAGAATCTGATTTTCGCATTACGGTCTCTAATTTTCGCAGTCAATATAACAAGACAATACATGTTTTGTCAGAAAATACACTATTTTGACAGATTTTCGAAGATAACGTCATTATTCACAGGCGTCGGTTTGATTATATATATATATATATATATATATATATATATATATATATATATATATATATATATATATATATATATAGGTTCTATGGAAAAAAAAAACCCTAAAAAATCCTAAAAATCATAAAAAATGCATAAAAAATACTTAGAGATCACGAATTTTTTTTTTGACTTTATATATACAAAAATCGCAACTTTATTAACAAATTCGCTAAAAAAAATTTGAAAAAAAATCGATTTTTTAATTTTTTTGTCAGCGATTTTATTAAAAAAAAACTACGATTTTTGTATATCTAAAGTCAAAAAAAAAAAGATTTTTGATCTCTAAATATTTTTTTATGCATTTTTATGATTTTTAGAGTTTTTTTTTTTGTTTTTCAAATAACCCTTCCCTATATATATATATATATATATATATATATATATATATATATATATATATATATATATATATATATATATATATATATATATATATATATATATATATATATATATATTCGGAGGGTACATCAATTTTCGTATATGCGAACTCAAAAAATTATGACTATTCTGACTATTATTTATTTTTATAATTAATTTTTGAAAAAAAATTGAGAAAAAAAATTTGTTAAGTTGTTTACTCTAATCATGGTTGTAAAAATCGGTCTAGACGGCTGATTAATCGGCGCCTAGGTGCTTGGCGGCCTCCAACCGCCTACGAATAAGGGTTAGTGGGTAAAAAAATCGGCATTAGTCAATATCGGTCAAAACCGGTCCAATTCGGACAAAATCGGATCCAAAATCGAACCCAAAATTGGGCTTAAAAGAGACCGCTGCCCCAAAGCATAGTTGGATCTGAATTTCAGTGAGGCCTTCTACCTTTTTTATAGGAATGTTTGCCCTTGGTTTTTTATCCCACCAACGATGTGGGATACTCAATTGAAAAAACACAGTTTAATGGAGTTGAGAGCTGCTCAAACTCAAAATCAACAATTCATTCTTTCTTCTTCTTCTATTTTCTTATTCGTATGTTCAGAAGATGTTTGGGATTCTTGGTTCGATCAGAAAAGCCTACTCCAACGATTTCATATGATTTTATTAAGATATTGGATTGTTTTTTTTTCTTTAACCCGGGATCAAACACAGGGCTGAAGAACAAGCATCAGAATTGAGACTTGCTCAAACTCAAAATAGTCGGAATTCAGAGTTGCTCGAAATCAACGGAGACTCACCCATCGCTTCATGTATCATCGCTTCATCGGAATTCGTCGATTTCACCTGCTCGACTCTCTCTCCCTCTCGTAAGTGATTGTTAATTTGTTGTTCGTCGAAACACTAAGGAGCAATCAACTGTCATCGCAATTTTGGTTGTTCTCATTCTCAATCATTGTGACCAGTCGCCCCTGCCCCATTAAAGCACGAAACACGTAAACTGAAGTTGTTCACTATTGTAGTATCATATTGTCTGAGTAACAATAACAGATTGTAGTTCAATAGCTTAGGCTCCTTCTTCTTGTTATATATTGGTTGTGAATTCGTGAATTTGTGTTGTTAACTGCAAGTTTGGGTTTCATTCTATTTGGTTGTATACTGGAAATAAGCAATTGTTTGTATACTGGAAATAAGAAATTGATGATTGTGTGTTATATTTTGTGTTTATCAACATGAATGTGCTCGATGAAATGCCTAATGTGGTTAAAATGTTGTTCTTTATTCCAAGTTCACCTCATGAAATGTCTAAAGTGGTTAGAGATGGAACCTTAAAGGTTAAATACTCAAATGGTGCTCCAATCATTGAAGATCATCCTGCATCAACACGCTTGATGGGCAGGCATATGGTCTTCTAACATAAGATAGTGAAATAGATGTAACATGTATTTGAATTGGCTTTGTTTCACAAGAATACTAGAAAAAGAGTCACACCATGTATTTGTATTGTTCTTATTTACTTATATTCTTATGATTAATGTTATATTTATTAAATTTTTAATACTTTTTTTAATAATTAATGGTCCCCGATTAATCCTCGCCTAGCCGATTAATCCCTTGACCACAGTCCACCGATTAGCCTACGTCGAGCGATTTCTACAACCTTGACTCTAATAATGTCTTATTCCCGACTTTTTAGTAAATTCAATAAAAGAAATGAAAGGAAAATATTGATAAAAAGAAAGGAAGGGAAAAGAAAATTTTCCTTATTCTGTGTTCCTGAGTTCGAAAGAAATAAAAGAAAAATTTTAAGTTTATATGTTTTCTTTCGGAATTCGTTCAATTTGGGAGAAAAATATGTATCCAAAAATCATTTCCTTGTCTTCACTTTCCTTCCATCAATCCTTCCATCGATTAAATACGGAAGAGAAATTAAATATCCTCCTACTATTTCTTCCTACAAATCCTCCTACCCAATTAATTAATGACATGTGTATCATTTAATAATTTTTTAATATACCAATACGACACATGTCATCATTTAATTGGGTAGGAAGATTTGTAGGAACAAAAGTAGAAGTATATTTAATTTCTCTTAATTTCTCAATACGAAAACACGATTTTCTTTGGACATCCCTTACCTTCTCACCATATCCATCAATATCTCTCTTTAGGATGATGGCCTCATAAGTAAAAAGATTGATGCAACGCAAATTAAAAAAATTATGTACCACGTTAATTCACTACGTCGTTTTCTGCAACCTCGTTTATTATGTCCTGCGTCAGTGTGAAATTTGGATGTTTTTGCGACATATGTAATCCGCTTGATATGAAAACTCGAAGACACCTGTCCGCCACCTCCTTCATCCTAAATTCTTCTCTCACTAGGCATCAAAATTCGTACTCGAACAAGGAACAAGAAGCATTGGTTTCAATTTCCAAAATCCGCCCTCCAAGGTACTACTGTCGTTCCCATTTTTTATAGATTTCGATGTTAAATGGGATTAATTCGACTTACTTTACCCTGTTCCGATTCTTTGTTGCCTAATCGATTAGGGTTTGTTCCTATGTCTATGCGAATTTTTAGCTCATTGCCATTTCTGCAATTCATAAAATGCGTTTGGAAACGTAAATCATATGTTCTTCACTTCCGCTTTCAGAAATTCTTGATTTAGGGTTTCACGTGAATGGCACATTTGTGTATTTTTCAGTCGGCGCCCTAAGTTTTTACAATTCGTTAATGGAGTTTTAATGTTGAATCTGTATTAACATATTATACATGTATCATAGGCCGTAATCTAGGGCATGGCTGGGAAGAAAGCTATTGCGATATGCCAGTTAGGTGGCGTATTCAAGACTCTCGATGATGGTTCATTGTCGTATGAAGGTGGGGATGCTCATGCCATAGATATTGATGAGAATTCAAAGTACAGTGATTTCGAGATGGAGGTAGCAGAGATGTTTAACTGTTCACCGAATTTCATGTCTATCAAATACTTCCTTCCTGGAAACAGGAAGACACTTATCACAATCTCCAATGATAAAGACCTTCAACGCATGATGAAATTTCATGGTGATTCTAGCAGCATTGATGTATATGTCATGATGGAAGAAGTTGTTCCAGATGTTTCAAATATGCCTGCCAGTAGGTAATTGTCATCACTCATTCTATTGTTTTTTATATTATTGACTAGAGTAAATGCTATACATTTTATGGTTGATTTGAGTTATACTTTATTGCTAATAGGTCTAGTTTAGCTAAAAAGGGAATGGCTTAAATGGATTTAGAAGTTGCCCAACTAAACTGCTTTATTCTAAAGATTTAGATCATTTTGTTAATAATAGCTTTTATTATCATATTGGTAACAAACCTTCTTCATTTGTCCCATCTAGGTCATTGAACTTTTTATTGTAGGTTATAGGCCATGTGCTTTCTAACTTTATTTTTATTCAGGTCACTCAGACCAATTTTTGACCGGTTAAGGCAGTGACATAGCATTGACCGGTCAATGCTATGTCACTGTCTTAACCAGTCAAACTGATTGGCTTAATATATTATTTATTCTTTTTTGCAGGTCAAGCAGAACAACATTATCGGAAGCCGGACTTCTGACGGACCCCACTCCTTGCGTATTGGACGATGACATGGACGAAATAAGTCCACGTGTACTCCTCGATTCCACTTTCGATATCCCAAACGACCTCGCAAACCTCAACGACGAAATTCCCATAATACCCCCCTCCCCCTCCCCCTCCCTCCCCCTCACCATCTCCCTCCCCCCTACCCCAAAACACACCAAAGCCGCCCAACAATGGCAAAACAACATCACGGGAGTCGGCCAACGCTTCAACACCGTAACCGATTTCCGCGACGCGTTACGCAAATACTCAATCGCGCATCAATTCGCGTATAAATATAAAAAAAACGATAGCCACCGTGTCACTGTTCGATGCAAATCTGATGGTTGTCCGTGGAGGATCCACGCTTCAAGACTTTCAACAACCCAATTGATATGCATCAAGAAAATGAACCCTACACATACATGTGAAGGCTCCATTGTGAAAACGGGTCATCAAGCCACAAGAAGTTGGGTTGCGGGTGTTATTAAAGAAAAACTAAAAGTATCCCCAAATTATAAACCCAAAGATATCGTCACCGATATTAAAGAACAATATGGTGTTCAATTAAATTATTTCCAAGCGTGGAGGGGTAAAGAAATTGCAAAAGAACAACTTCAAGGCTCTTATAAAGAAGCCTATGGTCAACTACCGTATTTTTGTGACCAAATCATGGAGACAAATCCCGGGTCCCGCGTGACTTTTAACACAAAAGACGACTCGAGTTTTCACCGATTGTTTTTATCGTTTCACGCTTCGTTATACGGATTCCAACATTGTAGACCGTTGATTTTTCTCGGGAGTGTCCCGTTGAAGTCGAAATACCAAGGGACTTTACTGGCGGCAACCGCCCCGGATGGTAACGACGAGGTTTTTCCGGTGGCTTTCGCAGTGGTGGACGCAGTTTCCGACGATAACTGGCGGTGGTTTTTGGAGCAAATCAAGGCGGCGTTGACTACTTGTCACGGGATCACGTTTGTTGCGGACCGTGAAACGGGGATAAAAGAAGCGGTGTGTGGTGTTTTCCGGGAGGAAAACGTCCACCACGCGTATTGTCTCCGGTCACTTTCCGATCAACTTATACGCGATTTGACCGGAAAGTTTTCGCATGAAGTGAAGCGGTTGATTGTCGATGATTTTTACGCAGCGGCTTACGCGATGAAACCGGACGATTTTCAAAAATGTATTGAAAGTATTAAAAGTATTTCGGTTGAAGCTTATAATTGGGTGATTGAAAGTGAACCTGTTCATTGGGCAAACGCGTTTTTCCTAGGGGCAAGATATAATCATATGACATCGAATTTTGGTGAGATTTTTTACAACTGGGCTTCAGATGCTAATGAATTACCAATAACACAAATGGTGGATACAATTAGGAGTAAGATTATGGAGTTGATTTACAACCGAAGAGCCGGTTCTAACCACTGGTTAACTCGGTTAACCCCGGTTAGTTCAGAGAGGTTAGAAAAAGAAAGTATTAAAGTTTGCGCACTTCAAGTTTTTAACTCGGGTGAACAATTTGAGGTTAGGGGGGATAGTATTGAAATAGTGGATATTAACAATTATGATTGTAGTTGTAAAGGGTGGCAGATAACGGGGTTGCCATGTTGTCATGCGATTGCGGTTATTGGGTGTTTGGGGCGGGACCCGTATGATTACTGTGCGAGGTATTTTACGGTCGAGAGTTATCGGTTGACGTATTCGGAATCGGTGAATCCAATTCCGAGGGAGGAGAAGGTGATGGCGGAGGGGTTTTCTCGGGCGATTGTCACGGTGACCCCTCCGCCGACTAGGCGGCCGCCAGGGCGGCCGCCTAGTAAGAAAGTTGGAATGCATGAGACGAATAAACGGCAACTTCAATGTAGTAGATGTAAGGGCACCGGGCATAATAAGTCGACTTGCAAGGAGTTTATGTTAACGTGAAAATTTAGTAAGTGAATATTATATTTATACCTGAAAATTTTATTTTTAGAAATATGATGTCAATGGAACAAAAGTACATTTTTTTGTCTCGTCTAAAAAGGTGCGACAGGACTCACTCAAAAAAGTATATTTTTTTGTCTCATCTAAAAAGGTGGGACAGGGTCAGGGACTCGCTCCATAAAAGTACAGTTTTTTGTACAGCTTTGTCCGGTTTTGATTTATGTAACAAACAGAACCTTAATGTTGTGTTTGTTACACTGGACAAGGTTTGTAGAGCTATTTTTGTTGATGAGGATGTAGAGGGTGTTTATGTCTTTTGTACAAGCGAGATATTGAGAGTGAGTCCATGTTTTACCACAAAAGGTAAGACAAAAAAGTATACTTTTGTGTCACTGACATCGGTCTTTGTCTAAGTTTTCTTTTTCATCTATGCAACGATTTTAACTTGGGTTCAGGTTTTTTTTTTTTTTTTGACAGGAGGAATAAACTGTTACTGTGATTCAACAGCTGTTATGTGTTGACATCAAGTTTGGTTTTGGTGCCTGTTTTTTAGTTATTGTAGAAGTATTTTTTTTTTTTGATTTGTTTAAATTGTTTAGGAGATAAGAGTCTTAGCAATGATCATTTGTACAGTTTTGCTTTGCTTGCAGACATGATAAACACCTGCAGATATAAATAAGTAGGAACCATGGCTGGTTTAAACTGGTTTTTGAATTTATTTCTTGTTTTAACTGAGGAGGTACGTCTTTTACATAAAGGATAAAGGAGAGAGATTGTTATCCCATCGTGCTCCACTTTTTGTCAGGGTAAATGCTGATATGATCATGTTGTTTTGGTGGATTGATTATAAATCTTCAAAAGATCGAGGGCTTAATGTTGGTAAAAGTTCAGGGTGTGCTTTGGAAATTTCTTTAAATGTTAAATAGATGTGATAATTTTATTAAAAGCTAGCAAATAGTTAGCAAGAAGAACAAAGGATCAAGGCTCGATAGGATTTTTTATCAAGGTAATCCAATTTTTCAAAGCCTTGAGATGTCGTTTACAAAACCAATTAAAAGAATAAAGAACTATGGAATAAAAAAACATGTTTTCTGTACGTGTAATTCTGGAATACTATGGAGTTCCGATATGAACAATAACACCCAAGCATCGTAATAAAAATCGAGATAATAATGTGCCTCTTCCAAGCGAAAGATAGTCTACATATCCACCGAATTGAACAAATCCACCGACAAATGACATACCGATATAGAAATATTGAGCCACGTCGCCACTTGCCTTCAAACTTTAGCTGCTACTTCACATTGGAAAAAAAAATGTTGCACGTCTTCGGCCATACTCCTACAGCAAGGACAGATAATAAAGAATATGTGCAGTAGGGATGAGCAAAGGAATCCACCCGGCTGGAACCGGTCCGGGAACCGAACTTGGTGGAAAATAGGAACCGAACCGGACCGCCGGTTCTACCGGTTCTTGCCGTGTCTTCAATGTTGGAGCCGGTCCTCGAGAAATTTCTACCGGTTCCCGGTTCCAAAAATCCCCAAGAATATCATCCCGGTCCCGGCCCGGCCGATTCCATCGGGTTCCGGTTCCGGCCGGTTCTCCGGTCCATTTGTGCAGCAATGATGGGTGTTGCTACAGATGTTCTCGGTAGGAGCTTTTTTTAAAAGCTTTTTGATTTATCAAGCTCTTAAGGCTTCACGGAAGTTGGTTCGGCGAGGACCTCGGCGAGTCCTACGTGTGCTCGGCGAACACGGGGCCTTCGACTCGGCGTGCCGAGCTCGGTTCGGCGACTCGATGGTGTTTACTACCCATATCATGTTAATTCACATATGTTCGTCCAAAGTCAAAATGATCGGTCTATTTAGTCACCTCTAAATTTACACTATGATGGTGTTTACTACTCATATCATGTCTAAAACCACACTCAATTCCAAAATCAACCACAATTTCAAAACCAACCTCAATTCCAAAAACAACCTCAATTTCAAAACCAACCTCAAATGAACTTCTCATCCCAACTCCAATTTTAGATGGAAAATGACTTCAACCTATTTGACCATCTTCCCGACTCCCCAATCAATACCCAAACCCAATTCCAAACTCAAACACAACCCAAAGTCGTGAACGAAACGAATTTGGAGCCCAAAGAAATTCGACCACAACCCAAGAAAAGTGGAAAGACAGCTCCAAGGCAATGGACTACGGAGGAAGAAACGGTGTTGGTTTGTGCGTGGGTAGATGTTTCTGAAGATCCGGTTGTCGGAAAGAACCAAGATTGTCCTACTTTTTTTCGGAAAGTTTCTAGGCGTTTTCTCACGGAAATGAAGCTTAGAGACTATAGGAAAAATGATAAAATTTACTCGAAGTGGAGAAACGTCAACAAAGTTGTGATGGAGTTGAATACGGTGTTTTCGTCTGTCAAACGACAATGACGAAATAATTTTGCAAAAAGCTTTTGCACTTTATCAGAGTCAGAAAGGGGAGAATTTTAAATTTCTACATGTATGGAATATCGTGAAGATGTCAAAAAATGGCAAGGCATTGAAACTTTTGAAACGTTCACAGGTGGTTCTTCTAAAAGAACCAAAACTTTCGAAACAACGCAGAGTCAATAGTCTGATGCGCATGTCGGGATTGACCTCAATGAAGAGGAGCCTTTTGAGATTCCAATAGCCACTGGTCCCATGGGAAGAGATCAAGCAAAACGAAAGGTAAAAACGACGACAAATGATTTGGGTGACATCAAACATCTAACAACCAAAATGGACAACTTGAAGTCGACGTTGGAGCAATACTTAGTGGTCGGACAAGAAAAAGAAAAAAAAAAATTATGTCATGACGATCTTAACAAGGAACACTAGCAATCTTATTGGACGCGAAAAAGAATTGACGATAAAGGCCAAAGAGGAGATTACGAAAAAATATAATATCTAGATTTCATTATTTAAATTTTTAGGTGTAGCGTTTTAAATTTCTAGGTTTTGTAAATTTAAATTCTATGTTTATTTATGTGTGTTGTCATTTTAAATTATATGTTGTTTTTTTTGTTGTAATTTTATTTTCTAGTTTAATGAATCTTTAGGTTTTATAAAAATAATATGTTTGAAATTTTAAGATTTAATATGAAATAATTTTAGAAAAAAAATAAATAAATGTGGCAAGCATGATAACTCATGCTTTGTAAATGGCAAAAAATTGAGACAGCATGGCAAATTCTAATTGGCCCCTAACTTGGAATGCGACAAGTGTAACATCATTTGATCCGTCCTAAAAGACTAGGTTTTTATTGTGAAAAAGTTTTTCAAGAGTATGTATGCTGTTACAAGCTCTCAACAAAAAAATGTTGATAGGCGTAAGCAACAAAGATAATTGTAAAATTAACAAGGGTTTTAAAGCGATACTAGAGTTTATTATTCATATACTAGGTTGTAACCCGTGTACTACACGGTTGACAAAATAAAATAACACAAAGATTATAAATAACATAATCTTAAATTTAAATTTTGTAAAAAATTATTTTATATAACATTGGATGTTTTGTTCGTAAGTCTATTATCATTATTTAATTTATATATTATACGAGTATTCAAACAACAATGTTTTTTAAACGAAGATTAATGATAAAATCATAATGTTGTAAATAAAATATAAAATTTAATAGACTGAAAAAAAAACCAATAACTTTACATGATAATACTATTTTTTTGTGATAATGGAATTATATAAACAAAAGCTCTAAGAAAGAGCAAAAAAAAGTTTCAAGAGAGCTACATGATAGGGATTATCCAACTAACGATCCCAAAACAAAGTTCTAGACTTACTTCTTTGTGATATCCAAAAGTAAGAGTAGAAACAATATCATAAAATATTACATCTCGTTTAGGCTTTTCACCGTTCCAAAAATAAACTCGTTATGATACTTCCAAAGGATCCAAAAGATAATGCAAACCACCACATCAAAATGCTTTTTCGAAGCAGCAGGAACTGAGCGAGACCATACCACTAAATAAGTGACGTCTTGAGAGGTAACCTTATATGGAAAATTATCAAAGTCCCGAAATTAATACAATAATACATAACATAACCACATAAGTAGATTGCCAAAATGGTAGAATTCCATATTGCCATTTCATGAATATTTTGAAAAAAACATATTATGAAAAAAAATCGCATCTGACCTGGACGTCAAAAATAAAAAATAAAACAATTTTTTAAAGTGGGTTGCTATTAAAACTAACATTTCAGAAAGTGTGCTGCTATAAATAAACATTAAGAATAAAAAAACATTTTTTTGAAAGTATGTTGTTATAAAAACAGCCATTTTAGAAAGTATGTTGCTGTTAATAGACATAAAAAAAATTAAAAATTGAAACTATGTTTCTATTAAAACTGCCATTTCAGAAACAACATTGCTATTTTTGAAACATTTTTTTGATATTGCATCATACTTGACCTCACATCAGAGATCAAACCTGGCATTTTTTTACTACGAAACCAGATCAAAAATTCCTTTTTTTTATCTCACATCAGACATTTAGGCTTGTTACTCTTTTTTTTTTGCCCCCATTGAAACCTGTATCAGACTCATACAATTGTTAATAACAACAAAAAATAAGGTATTATGCCCATCAAGACAGCTACATGCTACAACAAAAGAAAAACAAATAGAATTAACAACTAAAATACCAACAACAATCTGAAACTCCTTATGGTGTTTCTAGATCCGAATCAAAACTGTTCTCAAAATGATAGGCACGACCACAATGCCCTCCTATTTCTGAACCTGTAAACACAGACACACACATAACCACACAAAATCTTAATGAAAGTAAGATGCTTAAATACATTATTAAATGAAAGTACATCCAGTTTTGGTCCAAGGACAAAATGGTCATTTTCAAATGATTAACATGTTGGTTGTTAACTTAGATGATCAAATTAACATTATTTAATTGTTCTAACCATTTTAAATATTATCTATACATAATAATTATAAACATACCAATATACACCAATTATTATATATAAATATTGGTTTAAAGTTGTATATAAAATAATTTTTTATCTTCAACCGTGTAACACACAGATTATAACCTAGTTTCAAAATAAAAACCAAACCTCATTTTTACTTGTAGTCATACAATTGCATCATTTTTCTTTCAATCCTCTCTGATCTCACTACAAATACTCATCACTTAACATGAAATGCAAGTTAACTTACTAAACTGAGCAAAATATACTAATAATCTGAATTACAAAAGCAAAAAAGACCAAAACTTCCAAACACAAAACATGATCTTTGAAATACATGTAAACTTGCTTTGTAAGTCTTAACGTGAAACATGATTCCTTCTATTCATCTCTCTCATGACCTATCTATTTCTTTTTTTATGTCTTATACTTTGTGAAATCAAGGGCGATAAATAGCATCTTTTGAGCAGCTATTGATAGATTTGATTAACTAACTTCACCAACCTTTTGCTGTTAGGAAAAGACGGAATTTTCAGTAAGTATCAATATAATTGACTTTTTTCTCAGCAAGCATCAATAAATGAGGATTGACAATCGTTTGCGATAATAATAGAGGCAAGAACAGAGGCCGAAGGCCAAGATTCAAAATCGGAAAATATTTAAAGTCCCCATATTTACAATACTTCTAGGATGCCAAAGAAAATGAATAGGTTATGTGCAGAGATACTGGAACAAAATTCAAAATCTACTCATAAATCGTTAAGAACAAAATGAAATCAAGTTCACCAAAATGTCA